GAAGCATGTCAAGATAACTGATGAAGGAAGAAGCCAAACTCCTGTGCTGGGCCAAGCAAAAATTTGTCATGCAGTACGTGTCTAGGGAACCCACCACATGGTTGGATTGGCTCAACTGTGAACACCTGGAGCCTCAGCTGTTTTCAACCAACTCATGTTGATGTTTGGGAGGCCAGCAGTGGAGCTTGCAATCTCAGACCTGTTGCAGAGTGACCCAATCTCACGTTTCCCAACACATGGAGCAGAGGCAGCAAGTGCGCTCACTGCCACCTGGCCCCAACGTGTACTACCTTTTCCCCATTCTCACTAGTCTCCAGGTTCCTGAGACTACTGCAAAGTCAGGGAGTGGAGCTGATTCTGATAATGTCTAATTACCTCAGAAGATTATTACTCAGACCTGGCCAACCTATTGACATCCAGACCAGGCAGCTTCTTGGCTTCACCAGATCTGCTGAACCAGGACAGATTCAGCTACCCAGATCTCAGCTGGTTACAGTTACATGGAGATGAGTACCATCTTGTCAGCCTGGGATATTATACACACTCTCCTAGCATTCTGAAGTGCTTTTACCACACACACACACATATGTTATTTGGCTAGCTTTCTGCTGATGGGCCAAAAAGAAGAGAACAATACCAATATACGCCTCTACCTTCCCAAGTTCTAGCCTTTGTACAGGAGGACCTTGACAAGGGGCTACAACAAAGTACTTCCACAAATAAGTGTCAGTTCTCTCTTCAGTCCCAGTGCTTGGTGTCCACCTTAATTAATACACTATAACGCTGGCCGGGACTTTACTTTTTCAGTATTCAAGAATCTGTTTTTACCCCAGGCTAGCATTAAAGAATACCTTCCTGGAAATTAATGTTCTTGCTTCCTTGGCTTGCCAGCTATGTGGGGCTTGACAGGTGATTTTAACCAAGGAAGAGTTCTACAACAGCCTGTTGGACACCAGATCAACCTGGGCAGAACAGAGGAATTCAGAGCCTCAGCCACTTAGTCCTCTTCTGACCACCCCACCTGGGCCTCAGTGTCAGTCACAGTCTCCAGGAGGATCAGACTTGGAGCAGGTTAGCCAGCCAGCCTCAGAAAAAGTTGGCCCTGCAGGGAGATGTGGCCCCTCCCTTCCATTAGAAGCACAGCCACTTTGGCTGACCTTAACGCCACCACCCCAAG